CMKTTCCTTTTTTTTTTTTTTTTTTTTTTTTTTTTTAGTTGAAACAGGTCCTTRTGGTCCTGGCTCCATATCCATTCTGGGGAGCGTCAGTCCGGTTCCTTTCCACCGGCAAGTCAAATATGAAATACATGGTGAACACTCTCACGCTTCCTTCGTCTGGCCGAAGGAACCCTGACCAGCATTGATTGCTCCATATCCGGAGGATTGATTGTCAGCTTGCCCTACCACTTTTCCTCTCAGGATCTATTGAGATTCTGTCAAATGATTCGTATGAAGCGAGAAAAGAGGAGAGTCGTCTATACTGTTGAGATTAAAATCTCAGTTTTCCCATCATTGGGTCACCGTCCTTGTTGGAGTAGTGCTGTGCCATTTCTTCCCAATCAATCTGTTATCCGTCACAGTTGCGAGCTTTCCCTGTAGAAGCCAGTTCCTCATGAAGACCCGTCTCTTGATAGTTATCCCTTCTGGTCTGCCTTTAGCTGTTGCTGTCACCTCCCTCCACCTGGATCGAATCTGAGTTTCGACCGTTCCCAGCAATAGCACCCACATTTCTTCTCTTGCCACCTTAGTTCCTTCGATCGTCTTGGTACATCTCCTTTTCCAGATACCCATAGGGCCAGCTTCCTGAGCAAGTGAAACCAGACTTCCCTGCCGCCTTTGAGATTGTTAGTATTGGAGCAGATGTTCAGGGGAGTTGTAGGCGGAGGGGGTGATGAGAAGAGGTGGGGCCATAGGCCTCGCACCTTGTTCCATATCCATGCTGCTTCCATGCAGTACAGTTGACAGTGGGGTATATCTTACGGGTTGCCGTCTTTGCATAGCCTGCAAAGCTCGGAGCTGTCAGGGTCCGTATGTCTCCTCCTCTTGTGGAGCCATTGATTGACAGGCAGCGATGCGTGCGCTAAGAGCCACTGCATGCTCCGAATCCTAACCGTTCTAATGGGCAGGTACTTTATCCATGGGATGGAGATGGGGACTGTGGGGTCCGGATCTGTGGTTTGCAGCCCCAGCTCGTAGCCGAATTTGACATCGTACTCGAATATCGTTCTTGTTTTCCCAGATTTGCCCTGCTTCCAGACCCACTCTTTCGGGTTGAATTCGAGGTCCGAAATGCTGAGGTTCGGTTTGAAGATTCGCCAGGGTTTTGACTTGGATACCCTCACTTTTCTCAATCGGAAGGTTTTGAGTGTGTCGCAGTGGGGGTCTTTGTTCTCGATTTCCAGCTCTTGTGGGTTGTGGTTAGCTATGGGGTATGAGTAGAATTTAGATAGGTAGCCGAGTGGGTTGGTTCGAGAAACGAATCGATATGCTCCGGTGGGTCGGGTTTGGGAGATGAGTACGCCTCAGTCCCTGGACTTCCATAAGAAGTCTTCCCTTAGGAGGGAGAGCCATTGTGGTGGGATACTCTTTTAGATCAGCGTTAGGTTATCAGTGAGGGAGTGGCAGCCTTTTAAGACCTTTTGTAGTTCGTTCTCAGTAGCCCATTGTCCTTGGTTCTCCGCCCAAATGTGTTTGACCTGCAATCTGCCTTTTTCTACCCAAGATTGCCATCTTCGGTCTTTTGAGCATAGTGTCCATGTTGCTCCACTGGGGTCGGTGATCCAGGGGTTGCAGAAGAGAGGTTGCCTGAGGACCTCTTCTCTGTTTCCTGGTGCGCCGTGTTTGATTGGCATCATTTTGCGCCAGGCTTTGATGGTAGGGCTCCAGTATGAGATAGTTGTCTGAGTGGGGGTTGTGATAGGCTCGGCAGGGTTTCTCCTACGCAGTCTGCCTGATGTTATTGTCCAATCCTTTGCCATGAGCCAGTAGAGCCCCTTCAGGGTCCATGGGAGCTGATGGGTGCCAGGTTTCTGATGCTGTCTAGCGCCATCTGGGTCCATGGGAGGAATTGTCTGGTCAGAATCTTGATGATCCATTTCATCTGCAGTCCTATGGCCTCCTGTTTGGGGTCGATTATCCCGAGGCCTTCCTCTTGTGGTTTCCTGGTGATGTGGTTCCAGGCGGCCCTGTTGATACAAGTGGTTTTGTTGGGATCTCCTGTCCACAAATAGCATCTCACCTTGTTCTTCAAGGTCTTAAGGTCGTCATCAGGGGGGGACCAGATGGATGCCATGTACCTCAGTGTGGAGAAGATTTTCATGTTAGTTAGTAGCACACATCCGATGAGTGAGGCCTATGCGTTTTTGCAAAGGGCCAGGCGCGTGATGGCCCTGGCGATTAGGTTCTGACCCATACCTGTCCATACTCCTTCCTTGGTGATCATGATGCCCGAAAACCATAGTGCTTGTTCCCCCGTAGTCCATGACATCTGCGTGTCTGTGTCTGATGGTTGGGGAGGGGTCCCTTCTGCTAACCACCACCCTTCGGTTTTGTTCCAGTTGACCCTCATTTCTGAAGCTTGTCTGAAGACTTCCATTGCTCTTGCCAGTGCTTGGAAGGAGCTGTTATTGGCTCGGATGAGGACAGTGAGGTCCTCAGCGAACATGAGTGTTGTGGGTAGGTTGGGGAGGGGTCCCTTCTGCTAACCACCACCCTTCGGTTTTGTTCCAGTTGACCCTCATTTCTGAAGCCAGTCTGAAGGCTTCCATTGCTCTTGCCAGTGCTTGGAAGGAGTTGTTATTGGCTCGGATGAGGACAGTGAGGTCCTCGTCGAACATGAGTGTTGTGGGTAGGGCGAAGTCGTGTAGCGGGTTGAAGTTTCGTTCCGTGAGGCGATCTATGGATGGGTCTTTCCCGAGGAAGAAAGCTATAGCTTCCATAATGAAGAGGAATATATAGGCGGAGCCAATGGGTCGCCTTGTCTGACCGATCTCGAAATCGGATAGGTTTCTGATAGAATCTTGTTGACCTGGACTCTGCCTGTAGCATCTGAGTATAGGACTTTCACCCAGTTTTTGAAGTTTGGGCCTACCCCCATTTTCTCCATGCACGAGTGGAGGAACTCCCGGTGGACTTGGTCGTAGGCCTTTTCGAAATCGAAAAACAGGATTGCAGCCTTCATTCGTTTTTCCGTGATCTTTTTTGCTGCCTTGTTCGGAGTCATCACGTTGCTCAATATGTACCGACCTGGGATAAAACCTGCTTGGTCGATGTGAAAGCAGTTGTTCGTTAGTTTTGTGATTCGATTCGCGAGAGCCTTAGCGAGGATTTTGTAGGGTGTGGTGAGTAGTGATATAGGTCTGTAGTTCTTCATGTCTTCTTTGTCTCCCTTTTTATACAGCAGTGAGACCACGCTGGTGCTCAGTTCTTTGCCTAGGCCTCCTTTTTGCATTCTTTCATTTGAGCAAGTCCTCTCCTAGGGTCGGCCAGAAGCAGCTCCAAAATTCTTTAGAAAGAGTCCGTCGATGCCCGGGGCTTTGTCGTTTCCCATCTGGGTCAGGGCTATGTGCAATTCGGCTAGGGTTAGGGGTTTGTCCAGGCCTGCCAATTGGCTTGTCGGGATCGTCTTTTCCAGGTACAAAAGCATGAGTTGGCGGGCTTCTTGGTTCGCTGTGGTCGGGGGTGAGGGTGTCTTCGATTCG